ACACCCCCTGCCGTACACGTGCAGTCCCTTAAGGCGGGCGTAGATTAACTACGGATCTCACAACTCAAAGGGTGATTAATTAAAGGCTAATTAGATAAGTATCATCGATCAAGACTTAATTAGCGTCACCAGACGGGCGGTTCCTTAAAGTCTTCACCTTAAGATTGTCCCTGTTGCCGTCTCAGCATACCTGCTGTGTGATGTATGGCTTAACTTCAGACCTGTATGGTACACACAAGGGACGAAACAACAACCTCACTGTATTGTATTTGGCATTACCTGTTTACGATGTGATACCTATCAGCATAAACACTAACTGAATGTGCGTGAATGTATCTAAGTTTTTGATATAATTTCTAATTCTAATTTTGATATAACAAAGAATAACATACATATTGATCGCATTCGTTATGATCAATCGATCCCATTCGAGTACTGCTGTGCGGCGTCAGGCAGCAAATACATACCTTTAAAATGCAATTTGTGTGAATGGCGGGTGTTACGGTTAGGGCTTACGCTTTTCGCAAACACCTTGGGCCATCACTGATTTTCAGTGGTCCATTCATATAGTTTTCACAGCTATTTGCCCTTCATGCCCTAAATTGAATCTGTTTCTGCGGATAATCAAGACTGTTTTATATCATATTAATGCAAATATTCAAATACAATATTTAATCACTGCCGTATTAATTGATATAATAAGAATTAATACAAAACGTGTTTCTATGGTAAAATGTATGAGTTTTAAAATAATGGGTTGGTGACGTCAAGTCAAAGTGTTTTAGTCATAGGTATTCAACAACAACGACGAAGTGTCAATGGGGTAACCTAGTGGTTAGTGTGTACGCTCGTCACATTGTAGACCAAAGTCGATCACTTTGTGAAACGAGGTCCCGTATATTTTGTTTACAGTTGATTTACGAGCTATGTTTATCACTGACCAATGAATGGCCAATGTGATGTCCTCCGCTGACCAGCATTTGATGATGAGTGATCATCAGCATCTTCGATCACATTGTAACAGTCGCTCTTTGGCCTCTTCACTTACGCCTTGCCAGTTGTTTGACAAAATCCAGGCAATTCGTCCTCGGCATCTCACCGCACGAATGAGGGCTGTTCCATTCAGTATACAGCCATAATTGTATTATGCTCTCTATAAACCGGTCTGATGACCCCACACGGCTCGGTAAGAGATAATTAGTCGTAAGGGATATCTTTTAAGAGTTGGCTTGACCGGAAGTATCAATAATGTGTTCGTGTTGGGTGCACTAGCCTCATCGTGATGGCCGTGTGCGGCCCCCCGGCTGACCATCAACTGGTCAGCAGTGGTCAGTCGTAAAGCTAATAGCATTCCAAGCCATATTAACATGCACATGTGTCTGTGGATCAATGATAGTTTTGGTCCTGTCCCACTTATGAATGCGATACTGTCCATATAGTCTTCTGCACAATTGTAAAGGACATCATATAATGTAACATTCTACCTAAACAAGCCATGAACGGTCTAATACCCTTCCAGATCATTTATCCAGAATAATAAATATTTACTCAAGGATTTAAAATGTACATATTTATAAAATCAATATCAGTACATATGAATATATAAAATATCGAAATGTTCATCCTTGGTTGTTCCTGACAATATACACTGCCGGTCAAAAGAAAGTATACACTTGGAAATTGGATTTCATAAAATTATTCAATAAATTACCAACGTTATCAACTGGACCCAAATAACAGTCGCCAAAACACAACTGTGAAACCCGTATCAAATGCATCACCATCGAATAACCATTTCTTGTTTGTTTTTAGCCACCATCAAACATGGGTGTATACGTTTATTTGATTCCTATTGACTTAGGATAAAACGAAACCCTACATGAAGAAATATATATATATTTCACGTTATTTTGAATGCGAATATCAAACTTCGGATTCAAGGAACAAATACTATGCGCCGTTATGGTGATAGTATTCTGCGTTAATTGCGTCATTGAACCTGCCATGTATCTATGGTTCTGACGTCTAGTTGTGTCGATGCTGCCAAGAATCGTGAAGTTATATTGAAATCAAAGATACATAGATTCATTCAAAATTAAGAATATACGCCCCTTTTACGACTGTAACTTGTGTCTAACGCCACAAATCAGTATATCCTTCGGCCCATCTTTTTAAAACTCTTAACATTATTACACTGTAACCTCTTCGTGTGACATCAAAACACTTCAAGGACGTCATCCTTGGAACCTTGCTGTGTGTTAAACATTGAGTGAAATGCGTTTGAAAGCGATATAATTCACTGATATATTGAAATCCAAAAGTTGTCTTTCAGATCAAGACTTAATCAATATGATGCATTCATGTCTTGAAAAGTCATTAATGACAACTGTATGCAGCATTGTTCTTTTTCTTTTGAAATTGTCTTTAGTAACATGTTTTAATTTCACCATCAAGCCATACATTTAAGAAGCAAACAGTTGTTTTCCACATCTTTTCTTCAAAGTACCTGGTCATATCTGCTTCCCAAAAGATGTAGGCCTATTTTTGTCATTTTATGTCATCCAATATAAGAGTTTCCCATGCATTGTTACACCCAGTGTTCAATCCTTGTTGGTGAGTTTATGCATGTAAGGACACCTATACAGATGCACTGATCCTGTGAGTAACAATAATTAGCGCATGTTGCCGCACCGACAGGCCTATGTCGTAACGCTAACAAACCCACGGCAGATACCCGTGGCTGCCTGGAGGGGTCTCTGCTTCTAATAAAACTATCTAATCAAGGCAATCAGGGTTGGCAGCCGGCGTAGAACAACATCTGTTAATTCAGAAAATGTGTTTAGTCTACATCATATAACATGCTGGAAATTAATAGTGGCTTGTGCAACTGTGCTCTCAATTTTCCTTCCCTAATTAGAGACAGACCCATAATTTCGCGGAAGCAAATTCCTGCTCTTCTAACAGTTACGAAGACTCTTCGGAGTCCTAGCAACTCGATAGGCAGCTCCTTGGTATCAGATCACATCCGCTTCTCAAAACGAGGCTGCAAAATGGCAGTGATAAGTACAGGAGGATTATCAATTATTTTGGAATGTGCCAGTTGAGAGTTTTCATATTTTTATCAAATACTTTCCCGCAGTTCGAGGAGTGGTTCGAAGCCTTTTTTTTAACAGCATAAGCTTTCAGTTGTCTCGAGACCCCACTTTGGCTAATTCGTCCAGAGTTGAAGCCTGTGAAAAAGGAATATACAATGTACTTGACACGGAAAGAACGCACTGTATATCCTTTGAATAAATATGTGACTTTTCCTTGGATTATTGAGCATTGATATGCTGTGTGCTTATAGTTAAGATGATTGTTTGTAGCCTTTAGTTTTTCCATTTAAGGGCAGTGAATAGAGGTTGGATGAAATGATGAAGCGCTTCATAATTTGAACAAATTGTCAGTCATTTCCCAGGTAGCGTTCGCCTTCTACTGAAATCAACCCGAAGCAAATACACAAGCAAATAAGCAAATAATGGTTGAAGTCAGTGAAATATAATGGATATTTGAACATGTATAGCTACATGTACGTTACCTGTCCCCCAAGAAGACAGACTCTCCTCAGGCTATTCATTTTAATAAAAGGTAGAAATATTAAATTAGATTTATTTAATCAATTAAATGTTATAGCACAAACCAACGGCATGGACAATAAAGTAGCGTAGTGGCAACAGGCCGTCTTATATGGGTTCGTTTCCAGTTCTGGATATAAAGTGTGAAGCACATTCCTTGTCTCCACTGCCATGATCGTGGTGGAAAATTGCTAAAAGTGGCGCAAACATTAAACGTATTCCCGCCCTCCCTCACTCATTCCTAAACCATCAATGACGCGTTGAGTGCAATCGCCACCGATGTCCACGAATAAACGGGTGTGATTGAGAACAGAAGTTTTTTGCTTAATCCAACCTGGCAGTGTTTCTCCTGTATTACTCGACGAGTCATTGTTTCAACACTCAGTCATTATCACTTCAAATCCTCTTTGCTGGCCGTCTGCTCACCACGCCTCTTCACGCGTCTGAAATAAAACGCCATCTCTCGCGTTTAACGAGAGTTGACATGGAAAACTGCAATTATTTTCAAAAGTGTTTTAGAGACCTGTCCATCTCCAACTCTCCCTTCCTTTCCCCTCAACAGCAATCTTAAGTTGTGCCGACCGTTACTGGAGTCGGACCTTCAATTCATAGACCCATTTGTCTACGTCACCGGCTCCAATCCGCGACCTACATACTTTTATGAATCAATATGTGCCTCTTGTACGAAATAATTGTATTCTTGATGCCGCGTTCTTGTCAGCAAATTGTTGTAATGTAATTTTCCTTCGCCGCCTAGTAATGGTTGAAGGAAGATGCTACACTACACACTGAATTTAGTCCGCCATGTTATAAAACGTCCTTGACCTTAGATGTCATTGTTCCAAAATGGCCGTCGGTGTATTTGCGTTGCTTCGGGTCAAATAGTAGTCGGCCTTCATTTTGGTAACATTTGCGCCCCCTAAATGCAGCAGGGCATTGCTAAATTGTATTCCAAGTATTTGGCACAAGAAAATTGCTCCATAACTAGAAGTGATATGAGGTGCCGAAAATCGATCAGAATGTAAGTCAAATCTGGGAATTGCTTCCAATACCCTTTAGTATCTTAAACCTTAGCAATAATAAATCTTGCAAGCAAATATAACCTATATGCTCACAATGTTGTTCATATGTTTCAGCTCAATGTGTACAAAGGTTTTAGCACCATCTCTTGAGAAATGAGTAAATGTAATTTGAATCAATGGATATTTTTGTCAATACGCTGATATCAATTTTGACACAACAGAAAACGATAAGCCACGTGCATTATCAGCCAGGGTGATCTGATGATTTGATTAAGCACTAGCGCTAATGCTTCGTGTCATGGATTTGAACCCTAGCCATCACATGACAAGGTCCTGTAAGAGTGGATGAAGAATATCAACCTACCTGTCAATACTTCTCTGACTGATATGACAGTTAATCTGTCTAGTGATGAGTAGTCCAGTGATGCAATCGGCTCACCCATCTGTTGATGCAGGACTCCTGCAGTGGCCCGTGACAAGATAGTACTGGAAAATAATGCTTCTTTCAGCACCAATATTTAATGTATTAACTCCTCCCTAATAGAAACTAGTAAATTAGTGTCCTCATGCGATGTTGGCCTTTCATCCATGTCAGAATCACCGGATGGCATCACTCTTGTCGTGTGTTACAAACGTCATCATGCAAGTGATATATCCTACCACTGTCAATCGTCTTAAACACGGAATTGACTCCTTACTGTACACCTACCCATATTGATTTGGATACACTTTATGAAAAAACGATGTCTCGATCAAAAGCTCCATTCACGTATGTCTTGTATCATTGCACAAGCTCTGAATTCCATCATGTAGAAAATTGGAACATTTAGCACACTTTAAGCGGAAATAACTTAAGCGGAGTTACACTTAAAGTCTTTCTGGACCCTAAATCAATAATTAGATCAATATTGAGCCGTCCCTGTGATGTGATTTTATAGTACATTGCGGGTACTCCACTTCTGAAAGGGCATCTTGCCCTAGAGAATAGAATTATATTGTCTTGGCAAACCTGATGGCGTCATTTATTCACTGGACAACTCTCTTTAGAATTACACGGATGGGTTTACAAGTTCAAGTCAATCGAATTCGTTTGTAAGGTTACACTGATCAGGTATAGTATTGGAAAACATTAAATAAATGTTGTTTTACTTACAACCTCTGTGCTATTGACATAAACATATTTTACCTTCCAATATCCAGGAATTATGCACGGAGTTTTCAAGTTAATTTGAAAGACAAAATAAACATTCATCCATTCTTCGCACAACGATTTACAAAGGACTTTCATAATCGGATCATTATAACCTAGCTGCGCCATTCGTATGGACAATGACATTTGTTAACAATTCGGTGATTAGAATGGAGTTTACTATATTCGTTCTATCTAGAATGAAACGGCGTTAAAATTCAATCACCCGCTTTGCCGTACCCCCTAGTCTGCCCCCATGCTTATTAAATTTTACATTTTTGCAAAACCCCTCGAACGTGTTCCTTGTGAAACCTCATTCTATTGAGTGAGTGAGTGAGTGAGTGAATGAGTGAGTATGGTTTTCACGCCGCTTTTAGCAATATTCCGGCAATATCACGGCGGGGGACACCAGAAATGGGCTTCACACATGTACCCATTTCGGGAATCGAACCCGGGTTTTCGGAGTGACGAGCGAACGCTTTAACAACTAGGCTACTTGACCGCCCTCATTCTATTGAAGTTGTCATGACCATTGGATGACCTATCGTGATCATTGATGACCTGTCGAGTAACCCCTAGTTCGAGACAAGCAGGAATGTGAAGACGAATTCTGCAGCGACCATACATGATACATCGTCATACAAGATAATTCGAGATCGAGATTATGGAGATCGAGTTCTTACTCTACATGTATTAATTGCTCTTGATTCACAAAGCATACTCTTTCAAATAAACACTACTAGTACTCTAGACGGTATATGTAGCAGACACAATGTATATTCTAAATTAAATTATTTATTTATGACTATGTTAAAACTACCTTTGTCATAATCCCAAATGATCTATTTTAATATATTTATCACTCAAATCGCTTTATAAAAATGCGCTTTATGATCCCGAAGAGGGGAGACCATTTTACTGTCGCTACACATTTACAGGGCTAGAAGGGTTCCCCAGTGCATTGCTGTCAACACAATATGAGCTTAAATTGTTATGTAACGTGTCCACGTAGCTGAACTCCATCGCTCCGACGGTTGTGAATCTAAGTTTCAGTATCAATATAAATACCAATCCTGTCCTTATTTCTTGCGAGATAATAATATCATCACTTGAACTCGAGCAATATGATACAACGTTTCAAATGAAAGTATCATTTATATAGTGCCTTAGCGAACGGACGAGGTAGAATAAGGGCCTTTTTTGGTCCACTGAAAATGTCAAATTATTAAGTTGCAGTAAACTTCGAAATATTGGTGTGAAACTTAACCGATATCTTCAAATGGCTTAAAGAAAGCTTTTTCCCTATCATACAAATGCAAATGCATGTTTTGAACTTCTGACATGATGGACAGATAAAGAGATGTATTCATTTTCAGTATTAGCAAATTGATCCTTATCATCATGAAGATAGTATTACGTAAGGTTACAATGAGTGAAAAAGGTTGATTTTCAATAGAACATCTAAGTGTAGGGAATCCCTCGACCCAACATGACTTTAACCATATGTTTTCTACTGTGTTTATCACATCTCCTATGAAAATCACCATGGTAACAATCTTACTCATGTTCAAATATTTGTAAATCGCTTCTTGAAAATCTCTTAAATCAACCTTTCTGACACATTATGGTCCTACCTAGGCATTTAATGTTGTTATACATCCAAAAATCCATCGTTGAAATGAACATTATCTTTCACAAGAACACATCTTATAACTTTCATAGCAATAACATGTATTTCATCAATAATCAACGTATACAGATCCCTTAATATTTGAATGTATCAACTACCGTCTTACTATCAACGACTGCTACTGAAATATTTTCTTAAATGAGTAATACTTGAATGTGCCAACTATAAAGTTCCAAAGTCAAAATATACCAGCCGGTACTTTTTACATGATAAAAGCGAAGAATTAGTGTCTGTTAATGGCTACCATATATCAGGTCTCGAATGTTCATCCGATTACCAATTAGTAGTATACAATTAGATCCCACATGCAGGAAGAAATGAGGCTCATTATACAAACTATGACTATGTCAAAGGTACAAAATGCTAAGAGTCACCACGAGCAGTGATCATATATGAACAACGTTTAAAGATTTTTAAAAATTAAGCTCTTCAGTAAGCATGTGATAAAAAGGCGCAGAGCTCTTAAAGGATTATCGTCAATGGAGAACCATGGTTGGAGAACCTCTTGAGGTCAAGTGCTGTGAAAACTTGAGGGAAGTTAGGAATACGATCTGTGATCAGGTGTTGTGTGCAGGCCTGAAAGGGAAGTCAGGGAGAGGAATACCCTCTTGTCCTACAGTTCTTAAATAAGAACAATGATTTGTTTTCAGAATATTAACACGACCGAGATTTGTCCTTCAATTCTTTACCTCTCCTTGGATGCATTGCACGATCTTTTAACAATGTGTAGACATCAAGTTGGACGGCAAAGGGAGGTGTGTGCACTTTTAATGATACTTGTGTAAAAATATGCTCAGAACAGCCATACAGAGAATATACGTGTGCCATCCTTTTGGGACCCAACATTTATTTGAGTAACCATTTGTTCATAGCGAGAAGACTAAGTATGTATGTTGTCATATTCTCAATATTCTCAAACACAATAGCAGATAATTGTAAGCTTGAAGATGAGACAAGGCCAGTTAACTTATACATATTTGTGTCTGTTCAATGATGAAGAAAGTCAAATAAATGTGCGTGGTTTAAATAAATGATTTCGCAGCATCGGGTATCATCACAGTGATTCAGAAACACATGCAGATGTAGTGATATATGATGTAGTCGGAATCGTACAACAGTCTCTGCTTTCAGTAGGGATTTCTTCAATTATCATTAGAAAACAAATTCAGCGATCATCAAGTCACATTGGCCATATGATGTCCTTGGACAGACAATTGTCAGCAAATTTGTTCGAAGATCAATCATGACTTCTGATCCGATGGTCGTTCATTTCTGTCTTCTTGCGTCTGAATGCCAAACAGTCGAGAGATCCTCAACACCACTGGAATCAAACAGTTAAGATCGTTGTAATTCAATGGTCCACAAATTACAGAGGCTCCCATATTAACATCGATTTTGGTGTTGTATAAACATAGCCCGACCCGAAACAGCAATGTCCCAATTAACATCGATTGGAGTTATAAACGTGTGGTTTGATATGTAGTTTGATATGTAGTAACATTAACGTGAACCGGATCGATCATAGTTATATTGGAACGTATGAGATTATTTGTTGTAATGAATTGTTATACATTGTACTAAATAGATAAATTGTCATGTGAGGGGCATCCTTCCACCAAGGTAATTAGGTCAGCTGGACTATTTCCATCAATGATATACGGAACAGGATGATAACACGTTTCCATGTTGTTGGTTAATGATGCTTACGTTCTGAATAAAACCGCTAATGAGTCCAGTGGGATTGGTTCAAGAGGGAATGCATACCTATGTATTTAAACCAGCATAAATAAGAAATATTTTTACGCTGTTATTCTCACAGGTGCAAAAATGGCACTGAACATTGAATAGAATAGGTAAAGAATGAGGCTTTTAACATGTACAATATGTTTCTTGAATGGGCTATAAAGGGGATTAGTATGACAACTATGATGTGATTTACACATAGTCTATTCACAAGGAATGATATAAAAGTACTTCTGAACATGTTATTTGGAACCGCACAATCGTGTTCCAGAGCCGCATAGCACAATTACACACTTGAGGCTTCTGCTCACCAGCGTACATAAAATTCAACGCCGACGCTGCTGGCGTGAAAAAACGCCTCAAAATACCTACTTTCCCTCTCTCTTCTGGTCATGCGTAGCAAATGCCAAGCATCCGATCGGAAGAAACGAGCGTGACCGATATACCCATTTAACGCAGGACAGAACGGTTCTAGTTTGGATCAATACAGATTAAAGTAGGCATTGGGGATTAACTGACTAAACATAACATATTAATCTTGCATGTAATATCACAACTATGTTTTACCCCTGGTGGCATGTTCGTTTTGGCTACTGCGCTTTGGGCGGATGACATCAAAGCTGGGAGGAAAATATTTGGCATTCTGCGGAGGGTCGGGAACAAATGTCGCATTCGTTTTGCAATTAATACGTGTATGGTATTTCCATGTGCGCCTTGGGAGCAATATGTCGTTACTACAACTTCAGAGAGCTCACTTTCTAAACCGATTGTTTCTTATCACAATTGACCCCAGGATTCATCAGAATCAATAAATTGTACATATTCAAAGTTTAAAAGGTACATATGGTGAACAATTATCAAATGTAATTAAAAGATCCATTAACGTTTTCTGAACTGTAATCGGCGTTTGTTCTAAGTGTATGACTGAGCATACTGAAGTACATAAGACACAAGTGGTCCTCAGCGTATCATTTTACATTAAAAGCCTCCTTTAAGATGATTAGGTATACACAAAGGAGTTCACCTTCCGACCACAACCCCTTGATGGTCAATAAACAGTCCCGTGATATAATGGAACCGTAATGATCCCTATACACTTAATTTTCACAAGCAGGTGAAAACGTTCCATTTTGCTTCCTGTTCTGCTTGAAATATCCAGAGGCCATAATTTGTACTTTTATTTCCTTTCCTTTCATGTACTTTCTGTTCAAATACAAGGTTGACCCATAAATACAAATTTATGGCCGCTGATATAGAAAGGTTTTCTTGGTGAGCCTAGTTGAATTTTTCATAATTTTCCAATCAGTTCATTTTCGATCATATTGGACACGCAAACTTAAACTGCATTGTTCTGCCACGTTAAATGACCTACACGCGCCCACGATCAAACCACGGTGATATGCCATCTTACGGAGGTCACGGAGTAGTTGTACAATACGCAGGCTCATAAAGAGGAGTAACACGTTTGTTCTATTGAGGGAGACTCCAGTTTGTTCCGCTTGTAAGACTTTCCTTATGCTTTCCCAGGCCTTATTGGATTTGACCCCGGGCACAATTACCGACGGACCGGTGTCGACACAATTAGTAACCGCTTCTTCTTAGTGCAATGGAGGTCACATGGTTGAAGTCTTCAGATGGTGATTTCTTCAGAAGGACACAACAACGATATTTCAATTCGTATTGAATGTATTTATTAGCGAGCAACACATGTTGACATTAAGACTAGAGAAAAGGTTACTCCACCTATTTGGCAACATGTGTAAACGTCATAATGCTGTAGTGAGTGAGCGTGTAGTGTTTTACGCCGCTTTTAGCAATATTCCAGCGATATCACGGCGGGAGACACCAGAAATGGGCTTCACACATTGTACCCATCTCGGAAATCGAACCAGGGTCTTCGGCGTGACGAGCGATCGCTTTAACCACTAGGCTACCCTAACGCCCTCATTATGTTGTAGCAGTATCGGTAAATGTAGTCAGAATGGCTCAATATAATCTAACTATTTGTTTCCTTGTAAATATATTTTCAATAGTCCTTAACTGCAAACGAAAAGGAGTCATATAAGACGTATGTCCCAAAATCATAAACCTAAAGTTTAAGCCGCAACAAGTATCAACCCTGTTATGCATTTCGTTATAATATTAACAACAGTATTTTCATTATATCACCTCGTTCTCAAGGAAAGCCAAAAGTGACGCCACATCGATGAAACGAACTCGCGAGCACTGGTATGGTGCTGACGAACCAAGGGTATTTATCGGGTAAACTTTTTGGTTCGAACTCCCGACTAGCGGATTCGAGCAGAGAAGGGACACACCTGTGCCCTGAAAGTCGTGTTTACCTTTAAATAGTAGGTCATCCGATGGTTCCGGTCCCAGAAAAAAAGATGCTATATACTATTATTTGTCATGAAAGCACTTGTCACATCATTATTGTGAATACAGGATCTATATCTTAGGTATTGTCCTTTAATACTTTTCCCCTTCGGTGAAATCCGCTGATGCATATATTGTACGGGATGCTGGGGGATGTAAAGGGATGCTATATACTATTATGTGTCTTGAAAGCACTTGCCACATCATTATTGTGAATACTGGATCTATATCTTAGGTATTGTCCTTTAATACTTTTCCCCTTCGGTGAAATCCGCTGATGCATATATTGTACGGTCTCTCACGTTCAAATTCTGTTTCACTTAATCCAGTGTTAAATTGGACAGGCATTAAACACTATGTTTATACGGGGTTCTGCTTCCTATTCATTACAAACACCATGACTCATGAACAGTTTGCACGTGTTGCTATAAAATATGACACCTTGTCATAAAAGTCACAATGAGAATTCAAATACCGCATCTATAGAAGCTGTCGAAGGATAAGTAACGTCTTGATTGCCTTCTGATTGGTAGTAATATCGGGATCAGCTGCTTACAATGGAAGAGCTACTGTTTCTTCTGCAAGAAATGAGGCGAAAAAGTGAACAGAGTTGATTGAATGAGGCAGATTACCACAGATCCTGTGTCAAACACGGTTATATAACTTAAAAATCATCAGCTTCTCCCAAGGAGTCACGTCCTCTAAGCAATTTCAGGGACATCATTTTATGTGTTGGGGCTAAACGCTCATTCATGCAAGCGAGAAATTGCACAATCCTTTGTGGTAGTGAAGACTAACCATCCGCAAATAACAGCCAATCATAGGTCATAAAATGAAAAAATATCCTCCGTGACCAATTTCGTATTCTGCTTGCAAGACATGACGTTGAATGAAGCAACGTCTATACTCTTATTGTGAATGCGGCAATACCTGGTATACTGTCTCGTCTTTTGTGGACCTGTGAGACTATCATTGTCTCTGCAATAAATCTTATCTGTCTTCTTAGACAGCTCCTAGGGTAATGCTACGTCTCCCGTAACCGACATTGTGTTACTGGAACACACACACTAAATCAACAATATCGCATCCTGTATTTAATTGATTGACAATACGATTTAATTGGCACGCGTTTATTTCACATTACATTATTTACAAGCGTGTACATGTAGATTCATATCAGCTGTGAAACAATGTCAAAGGCGTGCCTGTCAAGATCCCTTCACCTTATGTTTTATTACATAGACTATCACATAGTATAACATACACAGTGTCAATGTTAGAAACATTTGTTCTGCATTAATGATGTGACAGTTTGATGCCCAATACATTAAGAGGAATTTTGATGAGTACAATTTATCACGCTTGTTACTATTTATTGCGTTAACATCTAGGAAGGCGATTGGTATTCTAATTAACTGATGAGTAAGCAAAATAAATTAGTCTCTGTCTTAAATTTGACCCCATTTGACATGGACTCTATGATTCAAATGACGAACAATCTCAGTTTTTCTTTCCTTGTAGGGGGCACGGGTGGCCAAGTCGTCTAAGGCGCCGCGATTCGCTGTGCAGAGTTGCGTCCCTTGGGCACGCCAGAAACCTATGATTTGTGGGTTCGAATCCCGGTTCGTCCTGATTATGTTTCTAGGTTTGTCAGCACCATACCCGTGCTCGTGGGTTTCACCGAAGTGGTAAACGTCTAAGACCTGCATCACTTGGTGCTTTCCTCCCACATTAAGCTGACACGCCGTGATATAACTGGAATACTGTTAAAAGCGGCGTTTAACCCAACTCACTCACTCTTTCTTTGTATACTCTTCCAGTTACAATCAGTGCATCGGAGCCAATTATTATAACATACAAACAAATATCCTGAAATGGTTTGGTATATATGTTACGTCTTGAAACAGAAGCGTTTTGTTGCAAATATGACCCATCTATGAGAAAGACTGAATACGTCCCTTAAATTTAGGTTCTACAAGCGGACGGTAGTTACCCCAGTAACTATACTGGTTAATATTGGTCCGCAGTGTAAGGAGCAAAGAGACCAATCGATGTCAATTGAGTAGTAACACCGACGCTGTCGCAGAGTAGTGGAGAAGACGTGAAGCCTCTTCATCCTCGATCTAGGATTGATGTAGTGTTTCAGGTCGTCACCTCGACCAAGCATTACAATACCCAATATTGACTGCAGCAAGAAGAAGCAGCTTACACCGTTTGATACAACAATATGGATCGTTAAACTATCGACTGACGCACCTGATTTTATGATCGATGCAAGCAATGGGCGCTTGTGACTATTGTCTTTAAATGCAAAGGTCAAGTGGGGTGAACACCCCCTCACTGTTACTCGCGTCAAGTAGGTCCCCCGATTTCATAATTTGATGTATGGTCTTCAGATGAAGCAGGAACTGGAGGAATGTGAAGGTCGTCTCCGTCCACAAGGACCCTGGTTCGCGACTTTGAGGTGGAATGTCCCATTTGAAAGATGGTGTCAGAAGTTGCTTTGGCTCAAGGGCAAGAAAATACAGAACGAACGGCTGGGCAGCAGAGAGGGCAACTTTATTTATCCAGTGCCAATATGTCCGGCGTTTCAAACACAAGACAGCTGCAGTTACACATCATTATACGCAAACTATAAGCATACTGTGTCATTAAGGTTAAGTGAGTATGAAATGCTTGCTTACGAGTTCCTCGTCGTAACAGTTACAGTCAGAGTAATGCGAGATAAGCCTAATATGATGGAGTCAGGCCATATACAATTATGTTATCCTCCTTGGTGAAATAAAAACGACAACACCCTTTCCTAATTCAAAACAATCTCTGCACGACTGTATGATTCCGACTGCATCATGAAAATGTCTTTATGAATCACTATCAAGCAGTGATGATACCAGGTGTTTGCGAAAAGGAGAGCGCATCATGCCTCACTGGTGGCGTCCACCATAAACACATGGAAAGGCAAGGCAATAAAGTTTGAAAAAATAACACAGGAACAAAATGACATAAGCCAAAATAGGGAATTGCATCGGAACTCAGTTTTGTTAATGATGCGTCAAATTTGGAAACACTGAAACTCATGAACATGGCTATAGTGTCGACAGACCAAAAATCACAATGAGGCAAGTCTATTACTTGAACCCCCGACAACCCCTTGAACACACCTTAGCACAGCGACTGGCGAGGTGGTGTCTGGAGCTACTGGACTGTCCATGGTACCCATCTTTTCATAATTGAAGCGAATTTGTGAATTGAAGCGACAATCAGCCGATCCTGATTCTGAAAAAGAAATGATTGGGCGTAAAACGTATCAGGGGACCATTCCTCCGACAAGATGGTTCGACCGTGAATGAACAAAGAGATCTCTACGTTTCTTCGTCAGTAATTGCTTTAACTTAATAGACTTAACGATGGTCATGCAACTGAGATTGTTTTGTATGGAAATGGGTCATGGAGTACGGCGAATTAATTCGTACGAAGTGGTCCAATAATTCTGTGAAACTGTTTGGTATTTTGGTACACAATTCTGTAAAAGCTTTGTTTATAGTCCAAAAATACTTTCGGTGATATTTCTTCCTAAAGTAACATGTGTGCTAAATTGCCCATTGCACTGTTCTTCCGATCTCGTTAAGTCTTTTGGAACTTCTTCAGCATAATAATCAACGGCCAGTTCCTCCTAGGTCGGGAGTTAATCACTCCTTGAATATGTCCACCAATGTCTTGACACACGGCCGCATAATATTCTTAATGAAGCTCACAAAAAGACGCAAATTGTTGTGAATATAAGCTTTTTCGGGTACGCGATGTTTATTGGAACCGAAAGGAGGAACATGGGTAGTACAACAGACAGTGACAGGTGAATGAGTGGCGGGTTCTACATGTTGAGCAGGCCATGCTTTGCCTTTTAGGGAACAACGGACTTCATCACAGATTTTCAGTGATCCATTGATATGTTTCGTCACTATTTTGCCTTTTACGCCCAACGGAATCTGTTTCGACAGATAATCGAGACTCATTATTCCCTTGCGTTGGCGTGGTATACTTCGTGCAATAGTAAACTCCACTATATATCAGAGAAAGTAAGACAATCATTCTAAAATAATCAACCTCTATTTTACAGTTGAAACATTTATACTATGTGCGAGGCGAAACCTGCATGAGAGTTGTGGTACCAATACCGTTGTAAGAGAGCAGTATGCTTTAGAGCACTTGTGTAATTAGGTTTGTCTGTTTGAGGCGAACATGGTGATTTTGATAATTGCAAATATATAGGTGATCATCGCCTATCACCATCGCCGTTTCCTTTTAGTGAGACTCATTTGCCGAAATGGGTCAAATGGCTTTTGATCACATCACGTGAGAATACAAATTGCCATTGCCATTCAAGAAAATAGACCAATTTCCTACAAGTAGGTCAGTCAAGGAAGCAACTAGTACGCACTATTTGCTTCATTTGACCAGGAAATGCGGACATCCTGCTCGTCATGACCACCAGCACGTAGTCATTCTTATTAGACCAAATACGTATTTGTTGTTGTTTTGTGACGATATGTTTTCAAATAAGAGTTTCAGAATTATGTCATATATACTTGATGAAACATAAGAGGGAAAATGTAGGTGAAATGAATTAAAAGTTATTCTCATTTGGTCTCCTTGGTATAAGTCCGCTTCCAACTGCTAATTTTTCTCTAAAACGACTGTCAAGCTTGAGCTGGGCTAACCTGCTGCTTGTCACGTGTAGCCCGGACATACATCATTTGTAAATGGCTATGCTGTTTCTTTCCGACACATTCCGAATGCCCAATACGTTATATACAATGTATTTCCCATTTTTGAACAGGCACCATTGAAGACGCATGCAGCATGGCAGGTCTAGACGCGTGTTGTTCCGCCAATCAACGAAACATGCATGCTTGTCGTGTGCCAGTGTGGGTCGCACGTGATTTACATCTTTAAATAGCCAAGACCGGTTGCTGAAAATCCATGTAAAAGAAAAAGTCGTTAATCTTCTGGAACAGCCTGTTTCCACGCGTTTGTAAAGAGTATCTTTTCACGTCGTGTCACCGTGTCTTACCAAGAGCTGGACAAGGGTTTTTTATACCTTAAATATTAAAAAAATACTAAATAGATGTGACTCTGCCAGTGTTATCAGCTTCTCAGATTTCATCTTTTGTATATAGTGTTCGCTACCTGAGTAACTGGTGTTGTTTCGTTTTAACCAAAAACTACGACTCGTTCCAAGATTCATATTTCAAATAAATCATCTCCAAAACATCTGAAAAGCGTTGTTGTTAAACCACCGGATCGCCATGTCGTTTATCATAGACGTCAAGGGTGGGTTACACCCACCACGGGGTGGGGAATCATTGAGAACAGAGAGGGATGGTGAGTTATATGAAGGATGCTTTATGCGTGCAGGGTTTGTCTAAGGGAAAGACACTGCTGTCAATGATTATGATTTACACCATAAATGCCATAACTGATTGATATCATTTGATAGATGCAATAGGTAATGGTAGAGATGTACAGATATTTTCTGGCATATGTGACTGGCATATTCAGTTGTGTTCACAATTACCAAAAGAAGTGAAAAAGGCGATTTTTCAGTGAACCCTTCCTCTTTGAAACGTTTTCAACCAAACCACGAAGGATCAGAGGAACGGACAAGGACGTCTCCCAGTAGCATGGAACAATGACATGAAACACGTAACACTACATTAACTACATTAACTTAAATAGTTCTTCTGAGGTAAGTAACCGGTATTTGCCTCAATAGGTGCTGAAAACGTCTGAATGTGACCAAATGCATGATTAAAACAATGAATTAACAAAACATATTAAGTATTCCTAATCCCCATGGGAAAAGTCTCATGAAAGTTATTTTCACTTTTACTGCTGGTTAAGTACCACCCACATCTTATTCCTCCGAAAATGTCTCTTCATTTATATTTATCATGCCTCTTCGTTCTTAGATTTTAAGGAACATTTATGACATGGGTAAAACGTGGCAACGTTATGGATTATGGTTATACTATAGAAGGTTCAGTTAAACAGGGTGTATCACATAACACCGTGAGCAGGGGATGCTTGAAATACCAAATGTTACTGATTCTGATCGGGGTGAAATGTATCTGACTGGCATGATGAGTAGCACCCGAGACTGGCATCTGACGTTTACACAATCGCCAGGCAACCGATCCCCTTTACATTTAACAAGATAGCATCATATGTAAGATTGTATTTCTGCCCTCTGACTTCAATCTCGCCTCTGTCTAAACCCACCAAGTAACGTTTGCAGGCACTATCAGCGATATTCATAACAGTTATAGTGTAAATGTACATATTGAGACCCTAACTCAACGTTGAAATACCTCTAGGCATTAACAGATAGACCGACAGACGGGTGCAAAGGCAGGTATATAGATAGAAGGATGGATGGGTTATGAGAACAGACGGATGTGAAGATAAAGGAAACAGCAGCAGTGAAGTATAACTTTTGGGGCTCAAACATCAAAAACAGATTTGGCCATTTTCATAAAACACTAACAAGGTATTTGGATTTGGACACACGATACGCCATTGTTAAGTAACGTAACACGGTGTTTGGTTGGATGGCGTTGAAACCAGCAATGTGATGAGTGTGATGTCAAAACGTGATCTCGTACGCTCTCACGTGACCCCAGTCATTACCAGCTTGCCCTCTCGCGAGACTTTACAAAGATTGGGATTTAAATGGTAACGTCATGGTCTCAGTTTAAGAAAAGGCTGCTAAACATTAAATCCAATGATTAATCGAGGCTGCTTATTCGAAGCTACCAGATCATGGAGACAAGCAAATGTAACACACATTTCTTAATGTAGCAATTATTTCCTATTCAACACCTAGGTTAAATTCGACGGTTCAGTTACAGATACGTTAGTACAATTCCATACTGTTAATCACAAACATTTCATTTGAAAAGCGCTCGGGGCCATTGGGTTAAATGCTAATCTCCAAACATACGAATCAGTTATGAGAAAAAATTAAATAGACGATATTGACACGTCTGGAAGCGCTACTGTGATATTTCACGGTATTCATAGTCTGAATAGTTCAACAACGTGGTTATAAGGTGTGAAAATCGAGCTTATGTCTTTAGCGACTTAATCATAACATTCTCTAACCTTTGCAAATATACTTGAACATGACTCCTGGTTATTAAAGAGAAAAGTATAGTTTGATCCCAGTGCTTATGTAGTTTCATTAAAAACATTCTTGATGATAACACATGACTTTTGTTAAGCATAAGGACTGTACCTATAACATGTGATTGTTCATCAGTGGCAGGTGCGGGTCTGTGAATTGCCTCTTCTACCTCCTAGTGCACGTTTCTTAGGGAAATTGATAGGTTTGAATAAATGGTTAACAAAGTTTTATATTAGTCGGAAAAGTTTCAGTCGGCTGTTCCTTTGGTATTACTTGTTGTTTAGAATTTGCATACACGGACGAATATGTAATTGTTTTGTGTTCCAATGCCAAGTGACGTATGTGATGAGACGTGCACATGTGAGTGGTCTCTCGTTACCAGCCAAGACTCGCGGGCATGCGTTCTGAACTCAAATTCGTACCGATAATGGTAATTGGTTTGCAGGAAGCATACCGTCCCCGTGGGTATCATCAAAATGGTAAACGTCTCAATCTCAGATTCCTCAGCTCCATGCTGACCCCCGTGATATGAATGTTACAATGCCACCCTTTATTTATGGCCTTTGGTTGTATCGGGTACAAACGCCTACTGATCTGCTGAAGTCGTAAGCCCCTTTTTTAAATTGTTTAATATCGGGTTGACTTTTAAACTACTTAAATCTATTTTGCTCTCTTTAAAACATTAACTTAAACTTTTGAAATGCATTTATAAAATGCATTCAACTTCAAAGATGTTTCATCATAAAAGTTTAATGGCCCTGGTAAACATTCATATCATCTTTTCATCAATACAGGTCCACGTGGAAAGGTTGGGAAGTCTTAAAAACATCAAACTGCACAGAGGAGAGAGTGTATAATACACAAAGAAGGCATCACTGATCGCACTAGTAAACATTATTTTCCAAACATAACATATATCATTTTCACCCGTGTGTGTTCCTTCTCATAAAAATAGTTTTTCGATAACATGTGACCTATCATTTTACGTCATAATGTTTTTAAGGTGTTGTTCTCTGACCCTACGGAAACCTTAGAATAGTGTGACATAATGCGGCTTAGGCTGAAGACGTCCTAATACTAAAAACACACACCCGTCAGAAGCCGATCCGGGTGATACCCTGAGGA